TTGATGAGTAACAAAACTCCAATGTGTAAAAACATCACTGCAAACGGCAAAACTATATGTGAAGCGATCAGATGAAAACATTCATGCCCCCCCCCCCAAAAAAAAAAGCAATAAAAGTTTTGTCTTAATTTTTTCTAAGCTCAGTTATAATAACCGCAACTAACGGCTTGTTTTTTTTTCATATATGGTACAAAAAACATTTTGATTAAACACTGTAGTACGTTTCTTGAGATTAGGCATGATACCTTTCAGAGCTTTGTATGGAGCAGATGTAGGACTTGACATTAAAAGTTAATATATTGAGGTCATGTTTCAATTCTGTAAAGGTTTGGTATTAAGGGCAGTATTTCATCAGCTTTAACTTGAAGCGTGTTCATGAGATCGACTTAACCCTACATTCTGACGTTGATACATGTACACCATGTGCTTTAAAGTTGGTTTACCTTTGTTGAAATGTGGATTGTCGTAATATTCCCGGGATAAAAGACTCCCAACATTTGATTGAACCTGATTCCTTGACAGTGACACAGTTACTGCAAGTGATAGAAGAACACACATTTCATCTGCAGGAGGATCACGATGGAAAATCGACCCACTTAGTTTCGTTTGTCAATCATCATGATTGATGTGTTTACAGTTTCCTGAAACTGCAGATCAACAAAGCACTTAATATTCCGGCGTTTATCTAGTGCTTAAATTTGAAGGCGCGTATGTGTGATGTTCATTCACTGACGAAGTGGAATGTTTAGTTCAATCTTGTTTTATAGCCATGGAGTCCTTTTTCAATTCACATTTAGATTAACGCATCTATGATGTATTCCTTGAACTGGTACAAGACCTGCATGTATTGGGATATTAGGACGGTTCTTCCGTTGACAGTGCACATAACTGAATTCGTAGACTTAAAAAGCCTAAAATATGGAATATTACTGTATAATGGAACATTTTCCAAAGACGTGCTTAAATGATAACGAGGCAAATTTGATTACGAACGTCTCAATCTCCAAAACAAGCATTCTCCCTGCATTTATTTGTACCGTATACAACATCACACATTCAGTAATAGGACAGTGATATATTGCCACAAGCCTCCCTGTTCACTATGAGGTTTCCAGTAAACGTTAGGAACGCCAAGGTTAAAACCAAGGGCAATATGATCAGAGGCAATTAAGAGGAGGTATACAGGTAGAGCGTTGATAATAATGGAAAGGTTGCCCTTCTGTTGATAATTTTTCGGTTTACCTTGGCTAATAACTCTGTTATCGAAAATCAATTCCTATTGATTAAAATTATCCATAATAAAAAGATCTCCTGAAAAAATTGAGGTGGTTGACTGTTGACTGAGAGCTACAGTAAATGATAATAATAACATAATTAATATATTGCTGCTGTATTTGTTCCTGATTATGAATGAAAACACTTTAAGATTATATATTTTCTTTACAAGCATTCTAAAATTTCATAGTTAATGTAAAATGAGCCATTTAATATAAAAAAGAAGGCAAACCACACAGAGCCAACCTGTTGGTGTTTAGAAAATAAGTAAATAAAAGTAGTAAAAATAGTGTAGTGCTCTCGATCTAGACTACATTAAAAGTAAAACTGAACAAGATTATACAGTATTTTTCATAACCCTGTTGCAAAAAAAAAGTGAAGCATTTTGCATATATTCGATTTTCACTTACGACTTGACTTGTTTTTCTTTTCGTACTACAGCTCATACACAAGAGAAGAAACCATATCCCTAGCAAAAAAACAATTTATAATTATGTTTCGCAGATGACTCCTGCGAAGTCTTAGAAATCTACATTTCGAATACCACAAAGCAGCAGGTACAAAATAAGAAATGGCCGTTATTCCTACATGTAATATTTATTTCTCAGTGTACGTTCCTGGGCTTCCGAACGGCCGTAGCACCAAAACATCCACACGAAGTCGCATAATAGAGGTGAGGTAACCCATAGTGACATTGTGGTAGATTGTTTATGGCCAGAAACAAGACAAGGGCAATAACATTTCTCAGAAAACATCTGGATCTCAGAAAGCAACAAACCTGATTAGTGACATACAGTACGTCCAAAAGTAAATAATATTTCGGCAATCTTTTTTTTTGTTATAATTATGAACTGTTTACCGGTTGTATTGTGATTAGGACAAACCGTTAGGCTGTACATGCCTAATAAAAAATGCCAACTGTAAATATACATCTAAATTGAAGGACAATACTTTTATAACATATCTGTCTTAGCAGAATGGTGGAACAAGGGAAAGAGGTTAAAGTGAAGATATGTGGAACGGGAAAGGTGTCACCTGAGACGGGTCTTGCTCTTCTCCATCTATAAAAAACCTCCCTTACATCAAAAATAGGGATATCCATAATCAAGCTGATATTCATTTTGTTGCATGTAAATAGTGATCAATGCATCTGTCGGTCCTATAAATGCCCATGGTCCAAGAGGCACCTGACCTCCCTTCGGGGCCATGTTGAATGACTGAATAAATCCAAAACTAGAAAATTAAAATTGTGCAAAATATTATGATTGAAAAAGAATCTAATGAGCTGAAGCACGTACAAATGTAATTATTTCATGAAAACACCCGGGTCCGCGTCTGCATAACACCGGGTTATCTATAATGAGGCTAGGATGAAGATTAAAACGCAATAAATGTTTGACGGTGTAAATAGTGCAAGTGTTGTTTTCCCTATCCACGTTTCGACCAGGACGTGGAAGTACTGCCTACGATCGGATATAGTTTTAGGCTGAGGTAAATCAGCTTGCCTGTTTGGTTCGACACTGGATATATTTGGTCTTGACCAATTTTTGAATATAGCAGTGGTAGTACGTGGTGATAATTTGACTGAAGAGTGACTCCTATTTCTCTCCATTTTGTGAGTATAATGTCACACACAAACATACACACACACACATTAAATTAATTAGTAAAGAAAATATGTGTGCCATGCGTTTGTCTTCAAAAATAGTGTTATTACCATGACCACCGCTACTACTACTCGCTTACTTTTAATAAAATGAGAAAAAATGTTAAATGGACCTACCCGTATATGTTGAGAATGAGTGTTGGACAATCTTTAAGGTCAGATGTTCGATATGAAATAATTCTTTTAAATTTCAAAATTTAAAAGTATCGTATAAATATAGTATATTTTACCAAAAGATACCAGGAAATAGTGTTGTGGTCGCGATCTAGACTACATTAAAAGTAAAACTGAACAAGATTGTTGGTACATGCCCAGGAGGCGATGACGCCTCTCTGATCCCCGGACTGATATCCTGGATCCGCCCTTGACGTATATATGTCTGCTGTTATTAGTTGTAACTCAAAGTTTTGGATTTCATTCAAGAATGCTACGTGTTGTTACTTGCTTGACGAGGTAAAAAAAAATATTGTTTTATGAAATGCAAAACTACGGTGCTCCAGGCGTGATGACTAGATGCCCGATTTACATCCTCATCTTGGTTAATGTGAGTAATGGAGGACCAAACTCAGAATCCACGTAACTATGTAGTATATCTAATGGAGTCAAATGCTTACAGTGATGCATACTCTTTAATGTTTTGCCGCTACCTTTCTTGATGAGAAGGGGAATTTAAATTGATTTGCAACACTTCTCAGTTTAACGTTTGTATCATCCTACAGTAGAAAGGAAAATATATGCTTGATTTAAACCCCAAGACTATTCTGGTGCGGTAGCTTCATGTTGAACTTTGATGATCAAATATAACGTCAGAAAATAGATTAGTTGATCACCGGATGTTTTGTATCAGTCATGGACAGGTCAAGCAAAATGACGCTCTTGATGAATTTTCACTTAAAGGGATAACAACTGTTCGCAAGATATCAATATTTCACTATTGGTCAATACACTGCAAACAACTGACAGAAATAAAATCAAATCTATTTTACCACCAAAACAGCAGTTAACGCATTTATTTTGGAATTTGTGCTTGCCATCACATCACGTGACCTCCATAGATGGCTACACTATGTAATAATCTCTTAAGAGAATATTACAAGAAACCAATCTTTTTAGAAAAAAAACAGGGACTAACTTGGAATGTGGGAATGGATTCATTAACCATTGGGAAGTATGGGGACATTTTCCTTTACCCCAGGAAAATTAATTTTTTGTCCAAAATGAACAGTTATATACCAAGCTCTTGCAGTATACATACATGCAATACTTATCATTGTCATGACGGGGCAAAATGGAGTTCGAATTAAAGGGTAGAGTTTTGTATAATTTCTTTACTTCCCACACTCAAGTATGGAATATATGGCACACCCATACTGGCATACTGCTCAAGCTTTCTCTTGCCCTCCAGAGTGGGAGAGCTTTTATCTTATTAAAATAATAAAAAAAAAATAGGCCCATCGATCTCTATAGCCACCAAACGTGAATGCACGGACCAAAGATAGAGCAAATCACATTTTTTCCATTTCCATGTAGCATAACGGTTACTGCGTTCGGCTGCCTGCGGTGTTTACTGGACAGTGGTATCGGTGTAACGAAACTGAGGGTCCGTGTAACAGAAAGTTCGCCCTCCATATAGTTAAAATGGTTAGGGTTAGTCTGACCTAAGTGGGTCAAAATCTAGGGCGAGGCTTACCTGTACAAATGAATGGGAGGTAGACTCTGTAATGGGGGAATCCCTGACACGTTACACCGCAAGGACTGCACGCAGCTGCTGTTGCTGGTTACCGTTGATTTCAGGTGTTATCTTAGTGTTATCATCGCGGTTAACGATAGTATTATAGCTAATGTGTTCGCAGTGTAGAACTGGCCAAATATTATTGTGAACCGCGTAAAATCTATCACTCTCCAATAATTAAGGTCACTTAAGTCATTAGGTACCGGGTAACATTTATCTATGCAATTGCTTAGTTCTTTTGGCAGTTTGTAACAAATGTTAAACATAATCGGTCTTTCACAAGTCGGTCATTTTGTAAAGATTGATGTTTTGTTTTGTTCTTTTCAGTCATCACGTTCAAGCAGTGCTGCGACGTCAGAAGAAAGTGATGAAGGTGACGAAACACGAAATGCGCACGAAACACCCTTGCCAATTCTCCGACGCGGCAGACGGGCGGCGATTTTTGAAACTCAGGTTAGAGACGACGATTGATTAGAACGGCAAATTGTGGGATAACTGATGCCATATCCTGAAGTGATTTAGTTAGTAAATGAGAATGCAGACATTCATTTCCTTCAAAATAGCAAGTGATAATTGAAGAATGACAGATTGCCATTTTTCTTTCATTTCAGGAAATTGGGGACACATCCCCATACATATCGCCTGCAGAAGAATATACAGATGACGAAGACGAAAGGTACCTAATTTTTTTCTGCTTTAAAATACAAACTCATATTTTATATATATTATTCATTTTCTTTGTATGTTTGCCCCGATAAATCCGTATTATGGCATTTAATTAGTAAGTAATTCACGAACATGAGACATCTTTTTAAAGCAAATCTCTCTATTCCATTTCCTATCCACCTGCAGTAGTTAACATTTTGAAATAACACAAAGGATGTCTCTTCCTTCATCTGTACACGTGAACAGCACTGCTGGCCTTTTTTATGTACGGGCATATCGTGCACTTTCAAAGATAACACCATAAGTCTCGACCTGTTTTTTTAACTTGCAGAATTGATGAGAATTCATAAATACAGGTCGAGTTCGAAAATTAGCATAATAAAACATTTTTTTAAAAGGGAAACTGTTTTTATCAAATATTGTACTATATAATGCAAATAACACATTTCAAGGAAAACCAATGGGCCTATTGTCTTCAAACTTACAGGACTGCTCAATTTTACTAAAATACAGGTCGAGTTTGAACATAAGCTTGATAGGCCATTTTTCCAACAGTTTCGCTTTTTTTTCTTGAAAATAGATGTTTGACCAAAAGTCATGTGGATATTTCGAATGTGACCATATATTTGACCTTTGCCCTATATTTCAAGGTAAAAATGGGCCTAAACTTTGTGAAAATTTAAATTTTCTGTGGAAAAATATTAGTTTTTGCTGGTTTGCTTTTACACTGTGGTGAGAAGTTACACTTAGGGTCTCTTTTCATCATCTTGAGTTTGGGGCCAATCGGTGCATTTTCCCGGGAGAAGCAGCCACTACTTGCCGAAAGGTGCCATTTGGTACTAGTTTAGAACTATGATTCAGCTGGTCAAAATTCTAATTACAAGAGGGGACCAGAAATCCACTACTGCAGCCCATATATCTCCAAAACTTGCAGAGATACACCCATAGTTTCTGTTAAACCT